ATGCTGCATAATGTAAGCTATCAGCAGGATAGTGACACCTTGTTCATCAGACCAGTGAGAGAACAACACACACAAGAACCTTGGCAGCTCATCTATGAAATGGGCCTTACCAATGAGCCATAAAAAAAAAAGTCTTCTGTCCGAGTCCCTTGCAATAAGCATGCATCCCCATGGGACAGTATCAGGGGCGGACTGACAACTCATGGGGCCCCCACGTATTAGGAGATCATGGGGCCCCTGTGTCCTCATCCACACTCAAACCAGACCCCAAAAAAGCCTATGAAAAAAGGTACCAGGGTCATCTCATGGGGCCCCCTACTGACCCTGGGCCCTCGGGCAGTGCCCAAGTGCCCGCATGGTCAGTCTGCCCCTGGACAGTACAAAGGTCACTTACTCTCCCCCCACCATCTCTTACTCTCTTTTAAGTTTCTTTTGGTTCCTGCAACTTGCTGTCTCCTCTAGTAACATCAGCTTTATTGGCAGATTTTGGTTTCACTGCAGAGTGCTTCTTCCACTGCTATAAAGCCTCTCTTCACCTCACTGTGTCAGCCTAATTGGCAGGGACCGGACTGCTGCTCCTCACCCACCTTCCCAAATTCTGTTTTATTAAATATGTCATGGTGTTATTAAGAGGGGGTTATTCATCCAGTCTAGTCTGGATGGAAATCCTTATTTGGATTGTTAAAATTTGGTTTACCCTTAAATAAACACTGTGGCCAAAATACTGACCAATTCAACTTAAATGTTGTGTCTTTTTATTTAATGTTTTATTATTGATCCTTTGTGCTGACCTATGTCTGTATGTTATAACTAACCAACACTAATTTGATTTGACATATCTAAATAAATCTTTACTTTTCAACTTGTGATGATGTGAAGGGCAATGATGGGAAAAGTCCTCAATAGAGAAGCAGGGATTTACACGGAAACTCCCATAGGGAAATAAATGAGTCTAAGTACCTTCGATAATGAGAGTTTTGCATGCGGTTGGACTAGACTACTGATCAAGCTGCAGGCAGGTTATATTTTCAAATATTTTAGAAGAAAGTTGATATAACAAAAAGCAGAAATATTTGAGTTCAATGGCTGTGTTAGGGATCCTGTCGCTGTGCAGCGGCGACGGATCCCCTCGAGCCGTGGCGGTGCGAGTGCCCATGCGCGGGAGCGTATTGGGCATGCATGCGCAGGAGCGTGCAAGCGCAGGAGCGTACACATCACCGCAAGGCGAGCTATTTAAACCTGCAATACAGTGTAATCAATGCCTTCTTGTCTATAACGTCCTGCACTCTATTACCGGATTCTGTTGCCTGTATCCTGATTCTGACCTGACTAAGAAAGAACTCTGCCTGCACCGACCCCGGCTATCCCCGACTATCTGCTTGCCTGCTCCCTTGCACTTGATTTGCTCGTTTGATCCTGACTCGGCTTGTCTGACTCTGCTGCACCTACTTATCTGTATCTGCACTTGGCTTGTATCCTGATGGCTGCCATACTTACCTGCTGCTGCACCCACGGTCCTGCACCCGGCCTGCATCCTGGTCACTGCTATGCCTGCCTGCTGCCGCATCCATGCTCCTGTGTCCAGTGCCAGTCTGCATCCTGATTGCTGGCATACCTACCTGCTGCTGCATCTACGTTCCTGCACCTGCAACAGGCCTGCATCCAGATCTCCTGGGTCTTCACCTACCTGCCACCAGTTTCAGACCTACCTGGCACTCATGCCACTCCTGGCTCTGCGCCCTCTGTTCCCATTATCAGGGGCTCCGAGAGGGAGTAGTAAGAGGACGCCTCCTCTCAACGTCAGGCTCCCCAACCAGGTACGTGACAGGCTGCTTAATTTTCACTAGTGATATCCTTTGCAGCAGTAGTTACTGTTCTTAAAAATTAACAAAAATCATCAGCATTAACATTTAATGCAGACAGCTTGATTTAAACTTCTAATAAATAACAAGACAAAAATACCATAATGGCTTATAATACATGTTTGTTTTCTGACATACAAAAGGCAATTATAGGCATGCTAGTTACATTTGTTATGCTACTATTCCCTAAAGTCCAGAGCTAATTTTCCAACCAAATACATTCCCCTGTGTTATCACATCTCATTTTACATATGTTATAAAAGGGGTAAAAACTGTTTTAAGCTCGAGTTCTTATTTACAAGATGTTCAAGCAAAACTTATTGAGCGTCACATTAATTATTATTAATGTTAAATTGACAAGAACTAAAGATGAAGCATTGTAAAACCACATTTAAATCCCAGCTTTTCAGCTTCAAGTAAGATGCTTTCATAAAATTATCCTTGTGACTTCTGAAATGTTGTTGTGTGCAATATGAAGTAGGGTAGATTAAAAGCTACAGGTTTTTTTTTGGAGAAATGCATTTTAACAAGTCTAATAAGCATGGTATGCAATTTTCTAAAAATCACTATAAATATCATAGTAAGATTAAGATACATGGGCATCACTAACCATATGGAAGAAAAATATATTAAAATACATTTTAAAAATATTTTTCCCATTTTGCCATATATTTGAAATGCTACACTTTTGGCCATATTCACTATATTTCAAAATATATTTCAATAAATAAATATACATATATATACTGCACGTTATTACAAAATATATGAAAAATATTTGTAAAAATACATTTCAAATATTCGGGTTGTCTTTAAAAACACAAATCGACATTCTGGAATGCATTTATAAATGTATGTAACAATATATTGTTAAAATGACTTTTTTATATATTAATAAACATCTAAAGAATATATTTAAAAAATATATTTTTAAACGTATATATTTTTTAAATATATTCTTAAGATTTTTTTTAACATTGAATATGGCCAAAATTGTAGCATTTCAAACATATGGCAATATATTTGGGGAGAATATTTTTAAAATATATTTCAACTATATTTTTCTTCCATGTGGGTAGTACTTGTGTATTAAAGCCACTGATATCTTTAATAGCATTTTATTAATTGTTTTTGTTGCATGTATTACTCTGCTTTATTTTTAGCATATATTTTCATTTGAGGCTGTCCAGTACTACATTAAAGGGTATGTGACAATAATTTTGACCATACTCCACATGCATATATTATATCCATATTCATAGTTAATTTGCATTAGATACAGTTATTCATTTTCTCTCTTGCTTTTCCTCTGCTTATTATTAATTTCAGTCATGCCATTTTACATGCAATCAAAATACTTGTCCAGAAATGCTTCCTTCAATTAAAACCTTATTGTGATCTTTTGAAACATTTCATTGCATTACATATTCTGCTGTACTTTTAACTCAAATTGTCAGTGTACTCTGTCATTTTCCTAGTCACCGAAAAACATATAAAGTTATTAGGTCCAAAAGGTCATACTGGAATTTTACAGTACAATGTATTCCTTTATCAAAGCTATTAAGAATTATTTTATTATTATACTATAAAGAAATACACAAATGCACAAACATCTTATATTCAATTATGCTTAGATCTCCATAAGGAGAGTCACATCAATTTTGGTTGCACTTGATGTGTCTTTTTCACATTAAATTGTTTGTTTAATTACAATAATTTTTATTGAAGTTTAGAGAGCTTGTACATAAATGAAAAATAAGAGAGACCAAACAAGAAAAAGGAAAAAAAAAAATGTTCAAGTCTGATAGTTGAAGGCACAAAACATATAATAACATCTGAGCTATAGGATTAACAGGGAAACAAAAGGACCAACCAGTTTCTGTTACCAGGGTATTGAAAGGCTATCCAGCAAAAGCCTTAGGGATCCCTGCAGTGAGAGCAAAGAGTTAGAGGCAGGGAAAGGAGAGTCCAGAGTATATGATGTGGCATTCTCCAAGATGTTTAAACAAAAGCATAACTATCAGGTGGAAGTGAGACATGGGCATTTTAAATCCATCTGGATTACAATTTGTGAAATTTTCTTGTGGGTGGACTTTTGACTTTTATCAACTTGACTATGTAACTGTCAGGAGCATGTAACACTTCTGTTCCATGGCAGATGTAAGTCATTTCAGCATCCTGGTTTTGGCTGAATTGAACTCTCCTCGTTTTTCTGTCCACCTGCAAGGTGATTGATGTAGACACAGCCTCTGGGTGGAGATCAAACCTGCTTTACGCCTACTAAGCTCTTAGTGTTATGCTAGTGTTTGAAACTCGTGCTTCAAACTCCCTGTGTACCTGCTTTGTTCCCGTTCCTCAACCTTTACCTTTTCTGGATGGATCCCCGCCCTGCCAACCAGTTTGGATTTCCATGTTTTCAACCTCGGATGGGACTTTGGACTACTCTCTGAACTATACCTGCCTTTTGACTCTGGATTTGACCCAGATTACTCTCTAAACATTGTCTGCCCTGAACCCATACTGCCATTGGACCTCTCTCCCTGTCTGCCACCCATGTGTACCTGTTTGCTGTGCTTAGCTCATGCCTGCCCCAGCGTGGTAGGCAGGCACTCTAGCATTGTGTATAAAACCTGGGGGCAACCGAGTATGGATAGGCCTTCTTGCCTTATGGGAAGGAGGGGGATGCTATAGGTGCAGAACACAGAGCCAGCTATAGTACCTGACCATCAATGCTAGGGGTGGACATGACAGTAACTATGTAAATAGCTATTTTGTTATATACGTTGAGAAGTCTTTCAAAACTATCTTTGTACCTGTGTTTCCAGCTCTGATTAGTTTCCAAAGCATTTTTAAGGAGGTTCCACTTTTTTTTGGAGTCTGCATGCATTTTACATAATGGAGACTACAATAAGGAGGATTGAGATTCCATAGTCATGGCTAAAACGTCAAGTGGGTAGGTCTCAACTACTGAAGAAAAACCCCTAACCATACATATACAGGAGATTGAGCCCCAAAATAAAATACCTGTGAAATATTGTATTTTACTTGTGTTGCCCATTGTATGACTGTTTGGGTTATTTAGTGAGTTTGAGTATAATATCAGGTTTTCCTTCATTGTAGATACTGATTAGAAAGAAAATGGAAGAATTTAACATCACTACAATAGCAGGATTTGTTCTGCTGTCTTTCTCTGACTTTCACCAATACCAGGCTGTGATCTTTGTTTTGGCGCTGTTAACATATGTCACAAGTGTCATTGGAAACACAGCAGTCATTGCATTTGTTCAAACTGAACCTTCTCTTCATACGCCAATGTACTTGTTCATTTGCACATTTTCAGCTCTAGAAATCATGTTTGTTTCTTCCACTGTCCCAAAACTCCTAGCCAGCCTTGTGTCAACCAATAAAAACATTTCTTTCATTACTTGTTTTACACAGCTGTATGTATTCAACTCCTTGGGCGTTACAGAATGTTATCTGCTTGCAGTAATGGTCTTTGATCGGCACTTGGCTATACAGCACCCTCTGCAATATCCAGCTATAATGAACACTCGACTTTGTAACAAGTTAGCGGTTCTACCATGGATGGTTGGTTTTGGCATTGTTATGGCACCAACAATCATCACGGCACAACTAGAATTTTGTGGTTCTGAGATTAATCATTTCTTCTGTGACTTTGCTCCACTACAGAGTATGGCATGCTCTATTCCACTTGTCCTCATTGTGATAACTAGTTCCATTGCTTTCCTTGATGTTGTAGTTCCTTTCATTATCATTTTAGGATTCTATGTACAAATCATCACAACTGTTTTAAAGATTAAGAGTAATGAAGGGAAGCTAAAGGCCTTCTCCACATGTTCATCTCATCTCATTGTGGCCAGCCTCTTCTATGGTACAGCTACCATTGTGTATGTAAAACCAAAGGGCAACCAGTATGACAAATTTCTTGCCCTTATGTATACAGCTGTTACTCCATTCATTAACCCATTCATTTACACTTTTCGGAACAGAGATGTTAAAAGTGTGTTAAAAAAATATATTGAACGAATTCTAAAGAAGCAATAGCTTCTACTGTTATGATCTTAGTTATGTTTGGACTTATGTTACATGCCTTAGATATGCATATTCTCACTTTTTTTCACAAGTAGACATTGGGCTGAGATGATATAATTTTGCTAAACTGTTAGGCGTCAAGGTGAAAGAATTTACAGATCACATTATCTGTAAATATAAATATTGTCCAGTTGCACTAAACCATTGATTTCTATTTCCTGCCCAGAGAACTTTTGACCATAATTCTTTTCCTCCTTTGATGGTTACATCCTGGGTCTTAGGAACCAAGGCACCATCTTACAAAGATGTACTCCTCACTGGTCTTAACCATTTAACCTTTGAAAGATTTTACCCCCTTCATGACCAGGTTATTTTTTTGCTATTCAGCACTGCATTACTTTAACTGGTAATTGCACGGCCCTCAAACACTGTGCCCAAATGACATTTATATACTAATAACTATACTAATGACACTGGATATGTAGTGGTTAACATTAGGGGCAATCGAAGGGTTAACTACTAATGTTTACTGTGTGTAAACTGTGCTGTTTAACCAAGCAACGGGCCTGTTTTTTCACCCTGCTTTGCAGGGAGAAAAAAAACAGCACATTGCTGCTTTATGTAGAGAGCCCTGTGTTATCATGTCATTTGCTAAGCTGATTAGTAGGTTCCACCATACATCATTGATCGATACACACTGATCTGCATGGGCTGTCAAGAATGACAGCACAGACTGGGCATCGGGGGCATCTGGAAGAGCCAGGTTACATACGTGACCTGGCACAAAGGGGCCACTCTGCCACAGTATATCTGCGGTAGGTGGTTGGGATGTAGATAGAGTGTCAGACCGAGAAGTGGGGCCTGGGATAAATCAGACTGTTGTAGGCTGCAATTTTTTCTATTCCTGTTGAAATGCATTTGTCCTGTTTTATCTCTAACAGAGGCTCAATAGCCATAGTGATAGCTCAGCTGGTGTTATTGCCAGAGAGGCAATCGGATATTCCCTGGGTCAACTTTACTTATAAATGTTAGTAACCAGTTATAGTCTGTATCTAAGAAACGTTTTTTTCTGCCATGGGAACTGACTGCACTAGTGTGAACCAGGACCATTGGAATACATGGAAAACACTGTGCATGCATTTTTGATGCAGAAAAAAAAAGCACACTGCATCTAGTGTGAACTATCCCTTAGGGCCAGTTCACACTACAAAAATGGACTCCGGATGCATTCTGGATAAGTTTTTGCTTACAGTTAACACCACCCGCAGTTCCGGTGCAGCTTGCCATGTTCCAGTATGGTTATGTGCAGAAAAAATGCAGCATGTTCTACTTTTTTTTTCTACGCTGGAAACTGACTGGAAATTACTGCACTAGTGTGAACCAGGACCATTGAAATACATGGAAAACACTGTGCATGAATTTTTGACGCAGAAAAAAGCGCACTGAACTGCATCTAGTGTGAACTAGCCCTTAGTACTATGGAAAGCTCTTTTTTGGCAGATTAGATGACTGATCACCAGCAGCTGCATTCACCTCACATCTATCCTACTAAAAAACAGGAGATGTATAACTATGAAATGCAGGGAGAATGCCACTAAACCTCCGTGCATTCCCTGGGGCGAATGTAAAAAAAAAAAAAAAATGACTGGGTGAATTTTGCAGTAAATCCTTAAAACATATTTTGTGATATTCATTATTACGCACCATATTACAGATTCCCCAATGCATGCTACAACCAGGTGGGTTTTTATTGTGAAATGATGTTCTTTTCACTCCCGGATTATGGCCCCGACAGTGCTCACTGGAACATTCAGAAGTTTAGAAATCCTTCTGTGACCAATGCCATCAGTATGTTTTGCAGCAATAAGGTTGTGAAGGTCTTGAGAGAGCTCCTTGTTTTTATCCATCATGAGATGACACCTTAGTAATGAGACACCTTTTTATAGGCCATCAGTTGAGACTGAACCAGCTGATATTAATTTGCAAAGGGGTCAGGATTGCTTTCTAATAACTCAGATTTCAGCTGGTGTCTTGGCTATCCATGCCTTTTCGCACCTCCCTTTCTTCAAGTGTTCAATACTTTTTCCTTGTGTCATTCCATTTTATTACACATAACTTAATTTCTGAATGTATTTGTTTTGGTTTCTTTGTATGTATGGATTGCATGGGTTGTTACTGACATGCGGTGAACATTTCATGTCACTAGCACCTTTAGAAATATATTTACTGAGAAAAATGGGGATGTGTTCAATACTTATTTTAATTATATATATATATATATATATATATATATATATATATATACTGTATATATATACATACACACATACACATATACATATACATATATATACACATACACATATACATACATATACACACACACACACACACATACACACACACTAATAGGTATAACCAATAGGTCCATATAATGTCTTGGACCATGCACCCCCTTATAAATATCACTAGCCTCAACCTTTCGTATACAGTATGGCATTAACAGTAATTCACTGCTGAATCATGAGGATGAATGGTACGAAAGTAGGAATGTCACACACTATGGCCCCTTTCACACTGGTGTTCCGTATGTCCATTTTTCATCTGCCCATTTACGGATGAAAAACGGACCCCCATGTATTTCTATGGAGTTGCAGATGTAAACGGATGAATATCTTTTTACATCCGGTAATGTCCGCATCCGTTAACATGTTTTTTTAATGGAAGAAAAATCCGCAAAAAACCCCGGAATGGATGAAAATGAATGTAAGTGGATGAAAAAACTGATCTAAGCGGATCAAAAATGGATGTAAACCAATGTAAACAGTTTGAAAACTGATGTAAATGGATGAAAAAACAGATGAAAAAACGAATGTAAACGGAAGAAACGGATGTAAACTCATCCGTTTTTATTTGAAAAAACATGACTAAACTGAAGAAAAAAAATTGGAACGCCTGTGTGAAAGGACCCTATAATTAGAATTGATTCAGAAGATAAAAGTAACCAACCAGCGCAAAAAATGATTAAAGTCCAAAAGGAATCCAAAGTAACCCCTAGGAAACAATTCATATATTTTACCTTACCACCAAAAGCCCCATCCCAGTCTGAATCCTTACAGCATAATATTGCTAGGATTACAAGGGATCAACTAGACGCAGCTCTAGAGGTGAAAGATGTTAGAGCAGGGTAATTCAGGATAGGTGGATTAGAAGAGATTCTTTTAACCCTTTCACTGTCAGAGCCGTTTTGTGATTTTTTTTTTTTTTTTTTTGCACACATTTAAAAAAAAATCACTTTAGGCTTGAAGATGACTTAAAAGTCTTAAAACACTATACATTTTCTGAAAGTAGAAGCCCTGGAGAATAAAATAGTGGTAGTTTAAATTTTTTAAGTCACACAATATTAGTTCAATGGTTTATCAAGTCAAAATCTTAGTAAAAATACCCTAAAGTTATTTTGTTTGTAATATATAAAAGACGAGGTTATGCTGAGTAAATAAATACCAAACATGTCAGGTTTTAAAAATTGTGTGCACACGTGATACAAGGACAAACTTAAGTATAAAAAAAAAATCACTAGGAGCGTCTCTACCTCCACGCCAGTATACACAGCAGGGATGTCAGTTTCCACAGGTTCCTGAACACAACGTAAGCATATATTTGAGGAGAAGGCTGGAGTTTGCTAAAAAAAAAACCTTCACAGTACTTTATCTGGTAAAATAGAAGTAATCTGGGACATCCAAATAAACCTAGGGGAACAGGAACGTGTTTCAGCCGAAGCCTTAGTCATGAGCTTTGACTAAGACTTTTGCTGAATGAGCTTGCATTCTGCTGGGTTTATTTGTTGGGTTTATTGGTTCTGTTCTTGGGCCCCTCCTTTTCTCTCTCTATACCTCCTCCCTGGGCCAACTGAACCTCCCATGGCTTCCAATACCACCTCTATTATGATGACACCCAGATCTATCTCTCCACTCCCCAGCTCACCCCCTCAATCGCCTCATGTATCACAAATCTAAGCAATATATCAGTATGGATGTCACACCACTACCTTAAACTCAATCTTTCAAAAACTGAGCTTGTAATATTTCCTTCCCCCCGATCCCCCACTCACGACTTTACCATTAAGATCAACAGCACAACCATAGGTCCTTCGCCTCATGCCAGGGTGCTAGGTGTAATCCTAGACTCTGACCTCTCCTTTGGGCCCCACATCTACTCACTGGCTAAATCCTGCCGCCTCAACCTCCGGAACATTTCCAAAATCTGCCCCTTCCTGACCAATGACAGCACAAAACAACTTATCCACGCCTTAATTATATCCCACCTCAATTACTGCAAACACCCTCCTCACTGGTCTACCGTTACACAGGCTATCCCACCTTCAGTCTATTATGAATGCTGCTGCAAGACTCATACACCTTACAAACCGATCAGTGACTGCTGCCCCTCTCTGCCAATCCCTTCACTGGCTTCCACTAACCCAACGTATAAAATTCAAAATACTAACCACAGCTTACAAAGCCATCCACAACACTGCTCCTAGCTACATCACCAACCTCATCCACAGATACCGCCCAAATCGCCCACTCCGCTCCTCCCATAATATCCTCCTAGCTCCCTCATCACCTCCTCCCACGCTCGCTACCAGGACTTCTCCAGAGCCTCTCCACCACAGCATGTCCGGTAAGCCCCCACCCTGTCTGCCTTTAGGCAATCTTTGAAAACGTACTTCTTCAGGGAAGCCTACCCCACCTCCACCTAAGAACTGTACTTGAATCACCTCTGCCAGATCACCCCCCGCAGCTATCACCTTTTGTATCACCTCCCCCTTCCTTTAGATTCCACAAGCAGGGCCCTCCTATTCCTTCTGTACTGAAATGTATCTGTTGGCACTATATAAATCCTGTATAATAATAATAATATTAATATAATAATGTCCCAGATTTCTTATCTTTTGCCAAATAAAGTACTGTGAATGATTGTTATTGGACCATAGGGCTCTCTAAATTTTC